GGTTGGAAAGGTGGTTGTTGGTGTTGTGCTAGTTTTTCTGTCGTTGGGAGTTTAGTGGGGGGAGTGGTGGTTGGTAAAAGTGGTGGTAGGTGTTGTTAGAATTGGTGTTGTGGTAGTAACGATGGTTGTTGGTTCTGTAGTTGGAAATGCCGTGGTGTGGGGGGAAGGGTGGGGGCAAATAAATTGATCCTCTGTTAATGATTTAATATTCTGCCCTTTTAGATGTTCTGGATACTCACAGACAGCAGCAGACACAATCTTGTCAGAGTTTGCTTTTATCCAGAGGTGAAGAGGAATCAGATTACAGTCACATCGCCACGGGTTGTCACTGAGGTAAAGTTTCTTCAGTTTTAATAAAGGCTCAAAAATATCCTCTGGAAGAGTATGGAGGTCATTGTGAGCCAGCCTGAGTGTGACCACCGATTGTAGCTTTTCAAACAGATCTGCGTCCAGCGACTTTATCTTGTTGTTTTGTAGATTCAGATCTACCAGCTTCTCAGGGCCTTCAAAGTACTCAGCATACACCTTTACAAACTGATTTTTAGACAGATCTAACTTCTTGAGTTTCTTCAGAGGGCTAAATACTCCTTTAGGAATAGTGCTAAGACTGTTTTGACTGAGGCTCAAATCTGTCAATTTAGGCATTTCTCCAAAAAGCGCAGGTGGTAGACTTGTCAGTTTATTTTTCTGTAAGGTCAGCGTTTTAAGCTGAGGGAAGCCAACGAAGAATCCTTCAGGCAAACCTGTAAGAAGATTATTCTCCAGAAGCAGTTTATTGAGTTTTTCTTTATGTGGAAATAGATTAGGTGACAATTCTGCTATTTTGTTTCCATGCAAGGCAATTTCTTTCAAGTTTGGCAAATTCTGGAAAATGTCTTCAGGAACCGAGGTCAGCTGATTGTCGTAAAGTCGTAGTGTCTGCAGTTTATTCAAATTTGAAAACCAGTGGGTTGATACAGCAGAGAGATTGTTTTTAGCCAAATGAAGCACCAAGAGGTTCTCCAGGCCATCAAATGTCCCATCTTCAATCGATCCAATGTCGTTCCCATGTAACTGGAGCTCTGTTAATTTGTCAAGGCCATCAAACAAGCCTTTTTCCAGACTACGGAGCTTGTTAAACTTTAGGATAATCTTCTCTAGGTTGCTGAGGTCTTTAAAGACTCCCACTGGGATCCACGTTAATGGAGTGCTTGAGATCTCAATATGCTTGAGGTCTACCAAACCTTCAAAAGCTCCCGGTTCTATAGATGTCGTGGTGGTGGACAGTAACTCCAGCTTTTCAAGCTGTGGGTTTTTAACAAAGGCTCCTTTGGGGATTGTTTCAATCTGGCTTGACAAAAAAAAAACCTCGGTGACACCTGGTCTCAGGAGGCTTGGAATTTCTGTTGTAGATGAACTGAAAACCTCCTGGTTTTCTGTGGGACAGTCTGTCTCCCTTTCACATGGTTGGTTCAGTGAAGCCTCAAACAGCAAAGACAAAATAAGAACGATGATTTCTCCTCTTGACATGCTTATTCACTATAAAAAGAAAAAAATGAAAAACCTTTTACTTTTTATGAAATGTTGTACATTCAACTGTAACCTTATATACCTTAGGTAGTTAAATGTATTGTTTCTCTTTCCTATGAAAGTCAATGATCAAGTTTATCATAAACATTTTTCAATCTAGAATGTTTTACAATTGAATGCCAAAACCTACCTTATTATTTCCTGACGCAGGTTGAAATAGGTTGTTACAGCAGTGAGGAGACACAAACACGTTCAGTATCATTAGTTATCTACTGTATCGATGTTAGCCAACAGGCCTGGAGTGGGTTGCATCCCATGTGAGGCGTGGTGTCAAACACTTCTGCAGCTTGAGATAAGAGCAAGGACTCCAGGTTTTAAATAGATCAGTTAGTTACAGTGCTGTTCTGCAGCATGGTTATAATTGTTTTCTAATGTTATTGATTGAAAAATACAATATAGTAATAGATTGTAACTAAGTATCTATCATTCATGTGCACACTCTAAACATAGACCATAATATATATATATAAACATTTTCTAATTTTCTAAAATATATCTTTTCCCACATCAGGACAGTTTCACTTCACATGCCTTCATCTCCAGTTTTTTTATTATGTTTGAACTTCCTTCCTTTTATTGTTAATGTCAGGCAACAATTAGATATAATGTACATTACAGTATTTATGTTTCACTTGTTTTGTCTTGGGCAAAACAAAGGATGGAATTTTAGTTGTGTATGTAAATGATTCAACAATTTTTCTGACTGCCTTCAATAAGTGTGTCTTTTTGTAAACTTAATTTAATGAAGAGATGAGTAGACATGAAGAAGATAGGTGGATTTAGTTTACCAGTAATAAACGTACATCATCGCTACATTACAAAACATACATATTGCTGTAAATGCAACAAGGGTTTATGGTGCAATATCATGCTGTGCCTCCTTCCCTTTACCATGTCTGAAGTTTATTTTGTTCAGTTTGAGTTACTACTCAACTTAATCAACATCATTACAGACATACCAATGATTATAAATTGTGTGTATGATATTTTCTTTTTCATATAATGTATGAAAGAATATGTCAGTGTAATACTACTTTTCAATTGTATTGAAATATTGAGTCCTGAATAATGTGTAAATAAAAGATAACTTGTTCTCAGATTCAATGAGGTTAAGCTTGATACAAAATAGCAGTAAATAATAAACACAATATAAGATTGTTCCCACTAAAAGTAGTGCATTTATTCAACGTATAGTAACATTTTGCATTTTAAGTGTGAAACCATAGTATGAGTTGAGTTACCGTCGAGTCAAAATATTTTTTAACGATTTCCGTTTTGCAAAAAGTAAACCTGTCTCCTAAAAGTATTGTTAGCACAAAGAGTAATTGTCAAACTGCAACTATAGGAATTGATTTCACAAAGTACTGAATGCAGCATGAAGTCTGCAATAAGAAATACACTGTTTCAGAGCATCTGAGTTTAAATTCCCCGAAATGTCCATGTTGCCCACAAGATGGCAATGTGGTGTTTTCACCATTAGTCAATACTATATATCAGTTGTCTTTTTACAGCACACATCAGGGGAAACTGGCTGGTAAATTCATTACAAATAAAATCATTTAAATTGAAAGCTGATTAATTCAAAAGTGTACTTGTTTGTTTTAGCTGGTACATCTGAATTTAAACGAAGTGGTTAATTCTGTTGCTTTTGAAGCTGGGCTCCTCATTTTCCAACTTAGCCACAATAACCAGTTAGCATTTTCCCTTGGCTTTAATAGTTCTTGGGTTGCTAAAAGTGGGTGGTCTCATCTACAGCACAGAGTTCTTGTTTCTGCGGCCAATATTTCCCCTGCCTCTCTTGTTCTTCCTCCAGCACACAAAGCCGATGATGACAGTGCTGAGGATGACAGTGGCTACTACTGCGATGACGATGAGGATGATTGAGTTATCATTAGAAACACTATCCTTCTCCCCTTGCCCACCACTGGTGACCTCCTCACTGCCACTCTCTGAGGCAGCGGTGGTCTTGACTACAGGTGAGGAAGTGCTTAGTCTCGCTGGTGGAGTCTGTGGTTTCCTCCTCTTCTCCGTGGAGGTCAACACAGGGGCCTCTGTAGAGCCGAAGGACAGGAAGTTCTTATCCTCCAGCAGAGCAATTACCTCGCCATTCAGATTTAAAGGTGCTTCACACACCACAAGCGTTTGGTTGGCCTTGGATGGGTGCTCTTTCAGCCAGTTTCTAAGTGGTAGAATATCCCTGTCACACCTCCAGGGGTTCTGCTGCAAGAGAACCTCCTTTGCTGAACTGAGCGCATCTAGACTCTCTTGTGGCAGATTGGGAAGGGAGTTATTTTGCAGGTCTATCTGTCCCAGGTTGCTCACGCCCTGGAGAAATCCCAAAGGTAGGGTGCTGATGAGGTTATGCTCCAAAGAAATGTTGACCAGACTCGGCAGATCTTGGAAAGTCCCAGCTTGCAGTGTTGTGAGCAGATTAGTGTGAAGTGATACCTCTCCAAGCTGATCCAACCCTCCGAAGGCCCTGGTGGATACAGAGCTGATCTGGTTGCGACTGAGGACCAGGAGACGCAACTGTGTCAGGTTTCTGAATGTTTCATCCTCCACACGACTCAGTTTGTTGTCATACAGCCACAACTCCTGCAGGGCCATGGGCCCAAACACTCCTGGCCCCAGACTCTCCAGCTGGTTTTCATACAAGGAGATCTGGGAAAGAATGGGCAGGTTTAAGAAGATCCCTTGTGGAAGAGATCTGAGCCTGTTGTTGGAGAGGTACAGCTTCTGGAGTTTCAAAGTCTTGGAGAACAGATCCTGGTGGAGATGAGTGATTAGATTGTCATGTAGGGATAGTTCCTCCAGTTCTCCAAGGTCATCCAAACTTCCAAGGGGTATTTCCTGTAGAGAGTTTTTGTTAAGCCGTAAGGTTTTCAGCTTTGAAAGACCCTTGAATGTCTCTCTAGGTAGATGACTGATATTGTTTCCAGAAAAAAGAAGGATCTGCAGCTCAGCAAGAGGGTGAAAAGTTTCTTCAGGTAAAGAAGTGAAAAGGTTTTTGCTGAGGTCAAGGTGTTGTAGCTTTGCCAACGTGGAAAACCAGTTAGGGCGGAGTAACAGGAGATTGTTGCTCTTCAGATTCAGAGTCTTGAGTTTCAGAAGATTTTGGAACAAGGCTTCTGGGAGATCTTGTAATTCAGTTGTAGTAAACCCTAAGACACCCACATTCGGAGATAAATCAAAGGTGCCAGTACGTACTTCCCTTAAAACTGTGTCTTTCATAAAAAAGATCTCAAGTGCATCAGAAAAATCAGTCAGGTCCTCTGGTTTCAGGGAGTAGATACTGCAATTGGAGAGGTAGGTGGCTGTGGTTGCTGAGGGCACACTCGTGGGGAAGCCTGAGAGACCGCTGCAGAAGATTTGGGTTCCTTGACACAAGCATCCATCTGGACACGCCCAAACAACAGTGTGGAAAGAGCAAAGAAGAAGGAGCACTTCAAGCTTCAGGGGCAGGTCCATTTTCTTTTACCTAGAACAGAGTAAACAGCTATGTTAGAGTCAAGGTTGGTTATGAATCTTGAATCAGTTTTACATAGATGGCAAAGTATATTTGAAGATGTCATGGACGTTATGTACTAACATCTTTAACATGTCAGAGTCAGTTAACCACCAGTCACTTGGATTAGTTCCACCTATGTAAACATTTTAATATGTCCTCTGTAGCTCTGGAGGACTGGTGTCAAGAAAGATACAATATATTTTATTTTTTATTTTTATAAGAATGCCAGTGTTACAAATGGTGGTATGGAAAGTGGTGTTTAAAAGACATTTGCATTCAGCATTTAGAAAGGGCGTAACTGTCCGCTTTAAGTGGAAATGAGAGCTTGACCCATACTAGCAACTATAGTCAGCCTCTGGTTTAGCAATGTGTCTTTTATATGCACCCCAAACTTATGGATGTGCAATACTACATTTCTTTGGCTAATGCTGAGCACAAGTTCATGCCAGTATGTGAGTTATCCGAACTTTCAATCATCACTATAATTGCATGAAGGGTGTTAGGAACTCTTATTAGTAACCTGTCTACATGTTGAATGCCTCAGCATTCTTGTTTAATCCAAAAAGGAGACATTTGCATTTGCAATGCATCCAGTGTTGTACTTTGTTGCCTGTGGCTTGGAGCATCGTCCACCAAGATGGCCAATGGAACTGGCTGGTAAATCACCATGGCTAGTAGCATTTGGCATTAAAACCAAATTGGTTTCAAACAGAATTGTTCTAGCTCAAATAAAAGGTGTGCCTCCAAATGTTGTCAAGTATTACATTCTCAAACTGCAGAGTATACAATTATAGAATATGGAAATGGGGTTTGTTTTTCTGCCACGAGCTAAAGGATCTCTGTGTCTCTGGTGCATCACATGTTTGAGGCTGTGACGGAGGCTGGGCTTTCTGTTTGTTATGGCACAGGAGGCTCCAAAGGCAAAGCTCTGCCAACGTAATGACCTGCTTCTCCATACAAATCCTTTTAAAGTTCTGCAACTTACGGTTGGCAAGCATGAGTTGTTTCTCAGTGGTTTAGATGTATTAGGGTGCAGAAAGTGTCTTTCCAAGGAAGTAACTTTCTAAAGAGACCAGTATGCCCCTCAAAAGAGCTCAGCAAAAAACGATTTCTTTCTGTCTTTCCCTCTTTTCCCTTTGCTCTTCACATCAAAGATATGGTTATAAAATACATCCTGTTGCGTCACAGCTGTTTCAATTTCAATACATTCATACTCGTATCTGTTTTCATTTAAGAGGTGGGTCCCTGCTGTGAGAGGGAAAATGTTCTCATTGTTAGTAAAACAGCCGTATATGCTATTTTGAAACCCGTTATTCTTTATTCCCAACCCTACCGACACTCCTACTTTACCATTATCCTTACTTTTACTGCTACTTTTAATAACCTTAACCCTAAACATTTGGTATTGCATTCCTTCTCATTTGTTGAAATTAGATTTTATGGGGCGACACCCAATGTTTCATCACTATCACCATTTCCCTTTTTCTTGTGTGAAAGAGAATAGTCAAAGTTAACATTTAAAACAGGGATGTGAATCTGAATACGCTATATGTCAATTGAGTAATGTGTTATCTTTATATAGTTCCCCTTCCCCAGTTTATGTTAAGGTGGGAAACATTAGGAACAATGGATTTAAGCAACTTAAGTAACTTTTCAGACACATGACACATTCTAGCATCACTGCTTGTAGACACAACATCAGCACACTCTGAAAGCTAAACCATGTTTCCTTTTGAGTTTGTAGTATAACATCCCAGTCCAACAGAACCCATGCTCCCAACTTAGACAACCTGGAATGCTCTGCAGCACTGTGTAATGGCTTAAGCATTTCCAGTTCACCATGAATTGCTTTATTTTTTCCCCCCCTGAGCCATAGCAGAAGGATCAGGACTTTGTGTGTCATGAAAAAAACTGAACTAGCAAAGTGGGGCACAGTGCTGCCAGAGAATCTCACTCAAGCCACATAACTTGATTACAAGTTCATTTAAAAGGTTTATGATTACTACTTTATGAAACATAGTGTTAAGTCTAAAGGTATCCAAAAATAAAAATAAATGTTAACAAAAAGAATGTCACTAAATTCAAGCAAACTTATCCTATTGGCAGTAATGTACTTTACACAACAATACAGACAGGTTAAATTGTGTACAGAAGCTTGTATTGTTAAGGTAGAAGTCCAATAGATTATCCTAGCGTAATGCTGTTATAACTTACTGATTGCTATCCTTCTCTTAGTAAGGTTCAGATCATTTTCTATCTCAGTACAGTTCATCACCCTGTTAACCAGCACATCACCCTGTTTTAGAGAACTTACCTCCGGTAGTGGCAGACGATTGAGTGAAGAGTGATAGTGAGTTGGTGTGGTTATCTTTTATGGACGTCCTCCCTTCCTCCTCAGTTTCACAAATCGTCTGATGAAAGTTTCCGGCACCGTCTGAACTCACACACCATCACATTTTCCTGCTCTTCGTCATCACTCGATTCCCCTCACCAACCAGTTTTCAGTTTTTTGCCCTGAGCTCATGAAATCTGCAGGTCCTGTTACTCAGGCTTTAGTTGCACTGCTCAGCGTCCCAGCTATAACCCCCTGCCCCCTCTGTTCCTCTCACACACTCACGTTTTTTTTTGCTAAATGTGGTGGTGGGGGATCAAGCACGCAAAGGGAAGCCCCACCCTCTGGGGATTTGCCTTTATACTATACAGCTGTCTGTGTTCGTTTGAATACATGTAAGAAGATAAGTGATCTGTGCTTCATCTTAGGTGATTCATATGTTTTCAATCATTTCATAGCATTGTATTCCTTCAATAATCAGAACTATATTTATATTATGGGTTAGGATTATAAGGAGAGTATACTTGGTTTGGTTGATAGAGCTGGTGTCTTTTTGTGTGACATTGTTTTGTACGTACGTGCCTTTTTGTTTGGGTGTGCAAATGTAATTGTCAGCTTGGCATAGTTTTGATGTGACGTCCCCAGTATCATGGTAAGCCAATGATTCCATTTGGATGTTTACAGTTTTGAAATGATATGAGTGAAGGATGATTCAGAGAAAGACAAAACCTTCAAACAACTTTTTAGTCACATAAGTTTAAAAAACAGCTTTTTAGTATTGTTCAATTCTGGGTTTATGAGAATTAAAATAAAAACTAGATTGTTTACCAAATCATTCTAGTGATCAAGTAAGATGACAGAAAACACTGTATTGTTCCCGTACAGGATTTAAATATTGTTATTTTCCCAACCTGTTCATGTACATTTATTAGGATTTAGCTTTGATGCTAAAATGTGTTGTATGTTCCTCTATAAATCAGCAGGAGGGAGGCTGAGCAGAAAGTGTTCTGCATGTTTAACATTCCTCAGTTGCAGTAAGTTACTCCATCTGTTGCAGCAATCTGACAAACAAAATCCCCTCCGCAATAGGCCGATAGTGAGGGTGGAGTTTTAACGTATTGTCAGTTGCTGCAGCGCGCAATACTTATACTGTAAACATGGTGATTTTCTGTTACTACTGTAAATATACTGAAAGATAAGAAAATAAATGAACTTTCCTTGATCTATAATACTGTATTATATTTTATTTAAACACGTTGGGCAACAGAATACAAATGTGATGTTTAATCTAGGAAAATCTAAACTGTTTAAAAAGAGGTTTACTGTACATTTAATCTATCTTTGATAATGTAAACACGTGCTCCTCTCTCAGAGAGTTGGAGATAAAGTGGACTGCTTCAAGGCTGCTACTTTTTTCCCAGTGGGTGAGCAAACAATCTGTCAGCTGTGAGGCAATGTAAAGCCTGACAGTCATGTCAGCTGCCTCTAACACATTATGAAAAAAGCCTTCCTGTCATTTCAGTCAGAAGAAATTGTTGCTATATGTTCTGCTATATGGGGAGCAGCAGTTAGATCACATGACAGCGTCTGTTGTCTGTTACGGCCCACATAAGCCTGTACACAAAATATAACTTGTCAAAATGAACGTTCTCCCTCACTTTCTGTACCTCTTTCAATGTCTGCCAGTCTTCCTACCAAAATCACTTTTTCGTAAAATAGACACACTAATCTCCTCTTTTTTATGGCAAGGGAAGACTCCTAGAATTAGGAAAGAGCTTTTACAAAGGCATAGATCTACAGGAGGATTAGCGCTTCCAAATATAAGACACTACTATTGGGCAGCCAATATCCACAAAGTAATTCTATGGACTTAGGAACCAACATTGAGTTGGTGTGAGCTTGAAGCCAAATCCTGTCCTAATACCTCACTCTTGGCTTTGCTTACATCTACATTACCCAGCCGGCCAACTCAATATTCGAATAACCCGATTGTTGTTTCCACCCTAAGAATTTGGTCCCAATTCAGAAAGGCTCATGGACTCTGTGGATCCTCTATACATAGTCCCATTCGCAACAACCATCTCTTTCTCCCCCTTTACACTGATGGGGCCTTCTCTATGTAGCAGAGGTCAGGTCTTATCAGAGTAAGGGACCTTTACATTAACAATGTTTTCGGTAGCTTTAGCCAACTCTCTGACAAATGTTGCCTTCCAGACACTCATCTACTTTTCACTACTTCCAGGTCCAAAACTGGGTTAAACTAAACAACCCTTCCTTCCCCAATATCCCTCCGGATTCAATAATTGACTCAATTCTGGACACTCTAACAA